CACAGTTCTCTCAAAGCAGTTCTCTCAGAGCTCTCTCAGCCCCATGTACCTCACAGGGTGTCTGTTGTGGGGAAAGGAAGGGAAGGTGATTGTAAGCTGCTCTGAGACTCCAAGTGAAGGGCAGGATATAAATCCTCCTCCTCTTCTTCTCCTCAGTGCCTTGAATGCCCTGGTTTCCATCCAAAATACCATGGGAACATATGTGATCCCATCCCCAGCTGAAGGGAGAAGGAAGATATGGTTGTCTGAGATGGAACAGTAGTGTAGATTCTAAAATGGTTCTTTCTAGACTCTCTCTTTTCCTCCCCCTAAACCCCGATGTGGGATATTGCATCTGCTGCAAAAAAACAAACAAATGAAAAAGCAAAACAACAACTGGTATCAGCTCCTAGTCTAAAAATATGGCAGATTCTAGTGTTGGATGTGTTTTTGTTTCAAAAATAGCACTTCCATGTGTTCTCAAGTGAGCAAGGAACATGAGTAAGAACTGCCCTTTTTGAGTTTTTGAATTGTTTCTCCAGAATCAAAAAGGCTGCAGTGGAACTCTATAAAAGACAGAAGTCACTTCCTAAATGGTGCTCAATATGTAGGATCTTTATGAGTCTTGTAAAAACCAATATAATATGTTGTTTATTGCCCTTGGTTTCCTGTGTGCAAGATTTAACAGCTCTGCATTCTATCTACCAATTTCTCCCCAGCTGAAAGGGCAAGGTGGTTTTCCTGTATGTTCATCTTGAATTATTTTTCTGTCTGCTCTTTTTCCCTACTACTCTTCTTGTCTCACCAGCACTGGAACTGTAGAGAGGCTCACCTAAATAACACTCAAGAATAAATCTTTATAGAGAGCCATAATCCATAAGAACATCAAAAGAGCCCTGCTGGACCAGAGCAGTGGGCCTTCTAGTCCAGCATCCTGTTTCAGACAGAGGCCAACCAGTTGCCCTGGCCAAGGGTTTCTTCTGAAGTTGTCTCAGAGCACTCATATTCAAAAGTTTGCTACCCCTAGATACGAAGGTTCCCTTTAGTCATCATGGCCACTGATGGACCTCATGAATCTGTTGAATCCACATTGTAAGTCTGAGGAGCCTCTAAGGATCCTAGAACTCCTTCCACAAACCCTTTTGTGATGTCACCTCCATTCTGACACCGAAAACCAGATTTTACAGTGAACTTGTTAGTTTAACCCTTTCATTTTGATTCCCACCTGAAATTCTGCCTAAGTATGAGTGATTGTGTTGACTCCTCCCCCCCCGTTAGTGATGGGTGAACCTTCTCCTCCTTCCATCCCACCCTGATTTGAAGTAAACTGGAATGAAATCCTTTATTTTGAAAATAAATTATCCCAAGCTCAAGCACATTCCAAAATTCAGACCTCTTTGTGATGGTAACAAGGCCACAGGCCTCCATCCTACTGGCCTCTTCTTTTCCCCAAGCTTTCCTGGTAGGTGTGATAATGTACGATAAGGCTGCACATTAGGCCAAGGATGGTTCTGTGGCTGGCACATTTCTTGTGGTCTCTAATGGCCCTCTACACTGCTGCACATGTCATGGAGCCATCTAGCACCTAAGAGAGAACTCACTATGAGTCTTTCCACAGGGAACGTTCAGATGAAGGAAAGGCAGCATAGAAAGCTCTTGGCAAGGGGTGTGAAAGGAGCCAGTGTCGAGCCAACAGTAAACTGCAAAAGAAGTGCGAGGCTGACTCAACACGGGCTCAGAAAGGAGAGGCTTGAAACACAAACATTTCAAACCCCCTTTTGGATATCCTCCCATCATCTGTCTCTTCTCCCCCCCCCCCCCCTTGTCTTGTTGCCCCTGCCCCACTGTTGAAATTTCTGTTGTGATCATAATAGCAGGAGTCTCGCAACCCAGATCACCCCTTATAGATGTTTGCCTGGCCCCCTCTCAAGGGAAGGGGTTTTCAACCACTTTGGGTGATTTTTCCAATGGGCAAACAGACTCACAGCTATGAAATGCCTCCTGACATCCATCCTAAACCTAGGTTCCTTCAGCTTGAAACTACTGCAGTGCACATCATCCTCACTTAGGTCTCCTTTTCAAAGAAATCTAGTACTATGTTTTTTCTTTAATGTCCAGTTCAGTTAAACATCTCCAGCATCTGTCCATCATACTTCATACATTCTACATCTTAAATCATCTTTGGAACCTGGCGAATGTAGCCCTTAACTCAAGACTCAGCTATGCCAAAGCAGAGTGAAATGGAGATCTACATTTGGCGTGTGGTATTCTTCCTAATGGAGCCCACAGCATGGCATAGAATCAGATAATGGAAAGGAACACACACGCCATCAAGTATCCTCAGTCCATGCTTCCCATCTCATGCTATCTCTTGGAAGGCTTTTAAGTGAGCATCAGACTGCTGACATCTCTTAGCTACTGTATCGCCACCTGCTGGGTGGAGGTGAGATTTATACTTTGTGCCAGTTCCTCTTAATGACGTGTGTATATAGCTAATGCTTTCTTCCCATGAGACCTACACGTGTTGGTTTTGCTACAAGATGTGTGAAAAAAGCAGACAGCTGGCATATGGGATGTACCAGCCTCATGGCATAATGGTTGTATGATCATGATATGGTGGGATACAAAATGGAACCTCATTGTGATGTATCATGAACAGGGTCAATTTCCTTTGCTCAGAACAGCTTGTTTCAGTAAATGAGAAAAAATACAGGACTATATAACCAGATTCACTTGCCACTTGATGGCTGTAACAAGGAAAATGGTTAAACTAAAAGGTGATCCATACATGCATGTACACTATTTTTTTAAAAAAAAATTGTTTGATTTGATTTTTAGACCGCCCTCCCGTGCATGCAGGGCTCAGGGCGGTGAACAACATTTAAATATAAACAGTTACAAGTAGGGTTAAAACTGTTAAAACAATAAGCTCTACAATTATTCCAGATGGCGCTTAAAGGATCGATTTCTGTCCTTACCCCAATACTTGATTTCTATTTACTTGTACCTTTGGTGACTGGCGATTGAACCAGCTCTCTTGAAATGTATTGGTTTTGAGTCCACAGGAGGGTATATGGAAGTTCTCTCTGTGACGTTGCCCATTCACACAGGTAAACGGGCCCTTGGTACTCCAGTCATGTGTAAAAGAAGAAGTTTTTATGTCTTACCAAGATTATTTAAGACAGCTATGCCATCCCCTTCAGATGTTTTGTATCCCAGGGGCAAATGCATACAGCAAGCTTTTAAAGTCTGGTTCTCACAATACGAGAGAGACCAGGGCCAGGGCTGGATATACTTCCCCTCGGTAAAGGTCTTACCCTAAATCTGCAAGGAACTCAAAGCATTATGATTTGCCATAGGGCACTTAAGAAGAATCAAACATTTTAGGCACAGGTAAACCCAGTGCCGGATTTATGCATAAGCTAAATAAGCTACAGTTTAGGGCCTCGCAATCTGCTGGAGCCTTATTTGTCATTTTAAATTATGTAATTATTTCTGTGATTATGTAAACACATCCTTTATTATTTTTAATAAAAATTAAAATACAATATATTTTCAAATATTAAAAAGGCGTATATATTTTAATTTTTTCTGAGACCAGCTGATGTAATTTAAAACAGTAGGGGGCCTCTGGGTTTTGTATAGCTTAGGGCCTCAGCAAGTCTAAATCCGGCCCTGGGTAAACCCTAAAATGTTAACAGAATGGGACTGTCTCTTGATCTGTTTTCTGATTCATAAATAAGAACAGGGGAATACAACCTCCAAAATGGCGCTTCAGATGGGTTCACTGGGAATGGGTGGGCAGGAACAATACTCCCGAAACATTCTTGAGTAAGACATTTAACTTCAGACCTGAGAAGCCTACCTTTTTGGAAATGTCAAAATTGTGGCTTCATCCTGAATAGAAATTACACAAAAAAATTCAGAGCGAATAGGAGAAAACCATTTCAGGATAACAGTTGCATACACACAATTCGCAAATGGTACAAAGGTGAAACCAGTGTTGTAAGTTACTTTGTGTTCCCATTGGAGAGAAAAATTGGCATAAATATCTAAATAAATGTTGTCTGAATTATAATCTTATTGCTGTCCTCATTGAACTTGGCACAAGAAAGCATAATTTGACCCTGCAGACACACAAAAGCCAATTTGGACAGAAGATTTTCCACCTGTGGTGCTATCCAAAGCAGAGTTACACCCTTCTAAACACGTTTGACTTTGATGGACATAGAAGGGTGTAGCTTTGCTTAGGATTCAGCTGTGAATGTTTTATTTTAAGGCCTGGCTGATCTGAAGAGAATACCTCAGCAGGCAAAGAACACGTTTGACTTTGATGGACATAGAAGGGTGTAGCTTTGCTTAGGATTCAGCTGTGAATGTTTTAAGCACTGGCACATCTGAAGAGAATACCTCAACAAGCACACTCGCAAGCCTGTATTCAGCCCCCAAATGCCCTTCTCTGCAGCACATCCGGCTCCCCCGCATGCCTTGCTAGGGGTCAGGCGCTGCTTCATCTATCTAAGGACTGATAATGAGTGGGGTGAACAGCTCGGCCTCTCTGCGGGGCGATTCTAACCCTGTAATTCCCTTATGCACGCACAGGTAGTACACGTATTCCCCCCCCCCCCCCCACAAAAAACACCGCTCCACAACCCCACAGTCCCCAAGAAAAAAACACCGTCCCAAACCCTCACGCACATCTACTTGAATCTCCGAAGCGGAGCCATATATTTATAGGTGTGGGCCGCGCAGCTCCAAATGAGGACGTAAACATTCCCACCCAGATGGGCCCATCCTGATAAGGCGGTCGGTCGACTTCTCCCAGCCGGACTCGCACAGCCCTTTGGCGGCCGGAGATCGGCGGAGCTCCCCACACGTGAGTGGGCCGTGCCCAAACAAGGGAGTTCCTTGGTGACGCACACCTCCATCTCTGGGCTGCCGGGGCGGGCCTACGCACGGTTTGGGATCGGCGGCGTATTTAAGCGCCCGCGCCGACCTCGGCAGCAAACCAAAGGAGCTGAGAGTGAGAGGGCGCCCGGTGCCATTGCGCAAGAGCGTGCGCCTGCTGCTCCGTTTTTGTGCCGCGTCTTCTTCTTCTTCGCGGATTCGGATTGCCCCGCCCCAGCCATGGTGATCGAGGAGGTGCTGCCCCTGGAGAGTTCCAGCCTGGCCCATCTGCTGCGAGATCCCCAGGAAAGCGGCCGCACGCTGGTGCTGGACTGCCGGCCCTTCCTCGCTTTCTGCCAGGCGCACCTGGTGGACTCGCGGCCCGTGCATTGGAACGGGCTGCTCCGGCGCAGGTCCCGTGGCAGGACCGGAGTTAGCCTGGATTGGCTGGTGCCCGACAGGGCGCTGTTGGGGAGGCTCCGCAAGGGAGAACTGACCCACTTGGTGGTGCTGGACGAGGCCAGCGGCTCGGTGGCGGCGCTACGGCCGGACAGCTTGGCTAGGTTGCTCCTGAACGCGCTGCTGTTGGAAGACAGATCTGGGACCTCGCGCATTTACCTGCTCAAAGGTAAAAAGATGCTCTCCTCTTAGGGATGCCAGGCTCCAGGTGGGACCTGGGGATCCCCTGGAATTACAGCTCATCTCCAGGCCACAGAGATCAGTGCCCCTGGAGAAAACGGCTTTGGAGGGTGGACTCTATGGCATTGTACCCCACTGTGGTCCCTGTCTTCCCCAGGCTCCATCCCCAAATCTCTAGGAGTCTTCCAACCTGGAGCTGGCCACCCTACACTCTCTGACCCTTGCCAGTGGCCAGGGAGGTTGTAACCACCCTACCCCATGTAGAAGTAGCAGCAGCATAGAGCACCCATCAAGGCATATAGTGCTTTGCTGAGCAGCATCAGTAAAACAAAGGAAGTCTCTGCCCCTAGGCCCATACAGCTGGGATGCTGGCAGTGGTTTGAGCTTGATATGGACTGACTGTAAGAACAAAAAGGATTAGCTTCCTGGCCCTGAGCTGGGGCTTGGAGGAAGAAAGCAGACAGGCCCTCCTGAGAGAATAGTACTGGCTACATTGAGGGAGAATTATACAATATCATCCCCAACTCTGTTCTGCCAAGGGGCACAGTGAATCCTTGGATAGCAGCTGCCTCTCCTCCTAGCTGCAGTCAATTACCCAGCAGGCCATTGTGTGGACATTTTGACCACACCAACCTGCAACAGCACCCAGTATGGAAACAGTTTTTCCAAAAAAAGTGTTCATCTTACAAGTGGAAGATTATCAGATTTGTTTTGGGTGTTTTTTCAGAATAATTTTTAAATTTCACTTTTAAAATACATGTGTACTTTCTTTTTTTAAAAAAATTAGGTCTATATAATTTAACTAAGTGATACCAAGTATGTATACAAGTCTCCTTTAAACTCAGCAACATCTTAAATTGGTAGATGGGAAGAAATTTAGGAAGTGGAACACAGCTGGCCTTTTACTTGCACACACGTGCACACACCTCTGCTGAACTTTTATCACTGACTTTCTGGGATGCTTAAAGCTAATCCTGAATATTGTAGCAATAACAACATTTAATTTAACATGGAATCACTAGTAGGAAAAATAGAGATTCCCTTCTGTGAGGCATGTTCAGTTGCTGTTCCAGGAGTAAAATTGCTAATGTGGATATGTCTTCTGTCTCCTAAATGTCTACCCTTCCAATAATGGATTCATAAATTTACAGTATCTCTCTCCACAATAGCATATTCATTAGACTGAACACCCAGCTTCAAGAAAGGCAAAGGCACTACAAACACTGGCATCCTAAAACCTCATCCTTGGTCCATCTCCTTACATAACATACCACTGTCTCCTGCCACAAGTACTGACAGCAGGATTTAGCAATAGAGTAACATTAGTATTACTAGGGATGGGTTGCCTTCTGGTAATGGGTTATTAGCAACTATGAAATCTATTCTATGGACGGAAAGGCCTAGAAGGTTCCTCGGATGAATCTCAAAATCCTTCCTTGCTCTTACTAGCCAAGTACAAGTGTTACCAACACCCTGGGATACTGCTTGTATCATTTCCACCTGGTGAAATGTGCTAACAGGCCATCTTCTTCCAACTTGTGTCTTCTAGGTGGTTTTGAGAATTTCCAAGCCAATTTCCCAGAACTCTGCTCTGAGACTCCGATGTCAACTCCTTCACCTGCTCTGAGAAGCCCTGAAGACAACAGCAATGAAGCAATCACTCCCCTGTATGACCAGGTGAGTTCTCAGAATGTGACCTGTGTGTGTATTTGAGGGGCCAAAGAGGTGGTACCTTATGACACTTATGAACACCTCCCCATATACACAGTCCCCAGAACAGCTACTTAAAACAATTAATATCCCATGCTTTTATTTAATTGAACAGTCTAATCTTTGTTCCATCAATAACCACAGTAAAATTGCTACTTGTGAGACAAAAGATAGTTGAGGTGGAATAAAGGGGTATTTTAGAGCTGTGTTGGCCACCCTGTCCCAGAGATTTAGAGCGAATAACAATTATCTACCCTTATATATTCTCTGATTCAGTATAGCTGACTTTTGGAGATGTCTAAAGAAGAGCATAAACTTACAGTTTAAAAAACCCAGTGCTGTGTGTTTCATTCCCATTCCAATGATATACCAGAACTAAAATACTCTCAAAATAAGCAAGAGCACTCTTAATTCCAACTCCACCAATTAATCAGTGAATATTTTAGTAAGTCAATTGATTGCCTACGTAAACCTTGCAGTCCATAGTGATCCGTGCAACATCTTCAATCATCAGTACGTGAGGTTGGATTTGAACCCAGGGTCTTAATCTCTCCCTTCTATTTCAAATGCACCTACTGGAACTTATGGGAAGCTAGGCAGAGAGAAAAGGATGTATCATAGTGCATATCCCTTGTGAGGGGAAGGTCTGTCCCACTTGTAACTCCTATAATGTGCTGCCATCTGGGAAGCATCTAGCTGACTCCAGTGACAAGAGTGGGATATCTCCCCCCCCCCATTAACCTTGCTCCCCGCTAATCATTTCGGCACGGTGCAAAGAAGTCTAATGGGTCCTCTCTTTTTCTTTTGCAGGGTGGGCCAGTAGAGATTCTCCCCTTCCTGTACCTGGGCAGCTGCTATCACTCCTCCAACAGGGAGGTTCTGGAGTCCCTGGGAATCACTGCCGTGCTCAATGTGTCCTCCAGCTGCCCCAACCACTTCGAAGGACAATTTCTCTACAAGAGTATCCCAGTGGAGGACAGCCACATGGCTGAGATCAGCGTTTGGTTCCAGGAAGCCATCAGCTTCATTGGTAGGTGCTTGTTTTCTGCCAGCCTTTTTAGGTTGTAAAGGAGCATAAGGCCTTTATGAGCCAATGTAGACAACCAGACCATTCTAGCAGGGCGTCAAGAGCACTTGCATCATCCTGCCAGGTATTATTTTGCCACCCATTAGATGTAAAAGTGTGATAGGACAGTTATTCATATCCGTTTCATGTTATATCTTTCAGTGGTAGAAAAGAGCTTGCAAAACTTAGAAATCTTGCTGATTTCTGTAGCAGATACTCAATATAAAATCCAAATATTGTTAATGCTGTGACATTTGATATGTCAAGAAACCCAAATATATATTCTTAAACAAGACACTATGTAGATGGATCAACTCAGTACCTTACTGCTGTACCACTTGACACTACTTTGTGGGCTGAAACTTTACACAAAGTCATTTGGTTAGCGACTGCTTTTGGGATTCCCATGCTCCTAGACGACATAGTGTTCCTTTAAAAGGGATGAGGGCAATTTATGGAGGATATGACTTGACAGCAGTTAGCTGTGATAACTAAATGGAACCTTCATATACAGAAGCAGTATATCTTTGGGTGCAATCAAAGAAGTGACTGCCTACTTATCTAGCTGGAGACTTTCTTACGGACACCTGGCTGCTCAAAACAAAATGTTGTGCTAGATAGCATAGTCTGGTCCAGATGTGGGATGTCCTTCCTGAGGGGTAAATGTGGCACAAGAAGGGGTCTGATGCCCCACAGTTCCTGTATGATCAGCACCTGTTGGGATGAGGAGTGCTAAATGGGTCCACTAAACCCATAAACACTTCCCTGCCATGTATCATATCTTTGAAAGGCAATAGAAATGTCTAGGGTATGTTCCAGTCTATGGTTGCTGCTGGCAGTTGAGCCTCTGCTCTTGGAGACATAAAGTAACTGTTCTTTCTTTCTTTTTCCTGTAGATTCAGTCAAAAACAGTGGTGGGCGAGTGCTGGTCCACTGCCAAGCTGGCATCTCCCGCTCCGCCACCATCTGCCTTGCCTACTTGATCCAGAGCCGCCGGGTGCGCCTGGAGGAAGCCTTCGACTTCGTCAAGCAGCGCCGTGGGGTCATCTCACCCAATTTTGGCTTCATGGGGCAGCTTTTGCAGTTTGAGACGGAGGTGCTGTGCCATTAGCTCCGTGGCCTCTTTATCACCTGCAGAGCCAGTTGATAGGAAGGGGGTGGGCAGCCCTCCTTCCAAGGACAGAGAGACTGAGATGCCTGTTTCTGTTTACATCCCAGGACAATAGCACTTCTTGATTGCACTAAATGACGCTGGAGGATCCCTTTGGGGAGGGGAATCCCTTCTGCAGCCAGACAAGACTTTCTCTCTTGGTTGTTTTAAACTGCCCTGCTCTTAACCTGCTTATTGCACAATAAATATCTTGGATAAGGGCGGTGGAGGGTGGGTTAGACAGGGTGGAGGGTGAGCCGTCCCAGTTCCTCCATTGGTGAATCATTGTAAGGCCAGAACCAATGCTCCCTCTAAGCTGTGGAGTCCTGTGAGCAGAAATCCTACTTTGTGAGCTACTGGCATTAAAGTTGTGAGCGAGCGATTTGGCTACTGCATAAATTAGTTTGCTCTGGAGCCATCCTTCCTGAGCTAAGACAAAAAAGTGTGAGTCGGAGGCTAAAAAACTGAGCTAGCTCACACTAACTCAGCTTAGAAGGACCACTGGCCAGAACTCTCTCACTGGAGTTGTAAAAGAAATCCAAGTTAGGATGTACTTTTGTCATGTCAGTGTCACCCCAAAACTAGCACTTGGTGGTGCCTGTATCCTCCTTATCTCTCTGCCAGAGTGTCTTTGTGTCACTGTGAAGCCTGTGGTTCAAACTCTCAATCTCCTTGAGTTATTTGGGGAGGTTAGCGCTGTTCAGCAGTAAACAATTTGCCGGGTTGTCACATGATGTTGTGTCTAACAAATGGGAGCAGGGCATGCAAAAGAGCCAGGAAAGGCTATTAGTATTCTTCCAGGTAATCAAGGCAAGCATCTTTCTCCCTCTTTCCAATATTTTTGTGAAATAGTCTGAGAAAATGGCACTAGCAGAAGGTGATCCAGCAAGGTCCTTGGCTAATAGGGGTACCAGCACAGTCTATTTCACATGAGACTAACATTTTAACATGTCACCCATGGAGATGGTGAACTGGCAGACCAGTGACTGAGGCAGACCACTTCCCTCTGCCGGTCTTTCCAGCTTCTGGGCCTCAATTGTTGGCAGAGATTTTTCTTTCTGCTATTTTCAGGGTAATCTTCTCTCTTTGTCCATCCTCCTCAGCTTCAGGCTCAAGTTGAAATGCCCATGGAAATTCAGTTCTACGCTGAACTACTGATGTCCCACTAGAGTACATGGTGCCATCCACTTGGCCCTTTGATCACCAGCCTTACGTAGGTCAGCCAATGACCAACAAGCATTCTCTATAACCAGTTATTGGTTGTTCATATATGCTGTGAAAAAGGGAGGCATGGGGGGTGCAAGAGTCTCCCCTTCCTCCAGAACTGCAGGACAGGAACATTTGCTGCCCCAGTGCTGTACAGCCTTCCTTGCCAGTAGAATGAGCCTGGGGAGAGAACCAGCCAGCCTCCTGTTCTGCAGGGATGAATCTCCTTTTCTGAATGCACTGACAACAGACAACACCTTTTGCAGCCAAAGAAAACCTCCCTTTCCTTCCTCCGAGGTGTTGTCTTGGACAACAGTGGGCACAAACCACTGGGAATGACTCCTGCCCAGTTCCTACTCCTTTCAATAAGGCTTGTGCAGGGGAACTTCCTGGTGGGTTGTGCCCAGAGTCATTCCCTCCCCCCATCGAGCAATATACAGTTTGTACATTCATGCGATTAGGAGAATTTTGTTATCAACTGACATTGATTTTTAATGTCTCTTGCACTTTATATTTATTATCACCTGTTGCAATAAAATAACCATTTTTATATTGAGGGTTGAGTCCTTGGGGTTATTTTTGGGTTCTGTCGTTTTATCTCTCGTTCATAGCCCGCTGGTCCCTCCCTTCTCAACTGTAGCTTGCTCTCTGAAGTGCTGGTCTCAGAGATGAGCCTTCTGTTCCTGGTGTAGAGGGGAGAAGTACAATTGTCCTGGGTTCAAAGGTCCTGTTCCCAAACCCTGCCAACAGTTCAGAGTGTGCTGGTTTATTTACATCCAGCTTCCTCTTTGTTGTGAAAATACCTCAACAACGTTGACCAGTGTTGGGGGCATCATAGAATCATAGAGTTGGAAGGTACCTCCAGGGTCATGTAGTCCAACCCCCTTCACAAATACCTCCTCCTCTACACCCACAGTGACTGCTGTTCCACGCCCAGAAGATAACAAAAAACCTTCAGGATCCCTGGCCAAACTGGCTTGGAGAAAAATTGCTTCCTGTCACCGAAGTGGCAATCAGCATTTCCCTGGGCATGTAAGAAAGGGCCACAAGAACTAAGCACTGAGGCAACCCTTCCTGCCCTCCCTCTGATGATCTGCCTAAATTCACACAAACAACATTGCTGTCAGATGGCCATGTAGCCTCTGTTTGAAAACCTCCAAAGAAAGAGAGCCCACCACCTCCTGAGGAAACCTGTTCCACTGAGGAACTGCTCTGTCAGGAAGTTCTTCCTAATGTCTGTGATCACACACACTAAATAATCCACTTTCAATCCACTTTTGAATTGGATTTTGCCATTTCATACAGTAAAAATCCAGCTAGAAAGTCATAGATTATTTAGTGTGTTTGAACGCAGCCAATGTTTAGCAGAAAGCTCTTCTGATTTAATTTCAACCCGCTGGTTCTGGCCTCAACCCATTCAATCAGCCTAAGTGCCATTTATAGAGCTTGGATGGATGTAAAAGGGCTGTTTCCCAAGAAGGCTGAATCATCATGTTATGGGTTATTAATCATTTTTATCCGATCCATCTAGTGGCTTGGGTGGAGGTTTTTAAGAGGAAAACTGAACTTCCTCTCTTATACATTTGCTGTGATGGCGGTGAAAAGGTTATCAAAGGAATATTTCTTTTCATTAATTTTTTTAAAAAAAACTAGTTTCAAGGCCCATGCATAGAAGGCTCCCAACATTTTTTCCTGGCAAGCTCTGTGCCTTTAACAGCTGCAAAGCAGGAAGACATTCAGCAGGTTAAGCCTTTACCGTTTTTCTCCTTCTGCACTGACAGTAGTTTCCCACCTTCCTGAAGTTCTACTTTCAAGTGAGTTTTTGCAGCTGTGGCTAGAAACCTCTTTGGAGAGCTAAGAGGATGTGTCCTTGTCCATTTATTTATTTATTAGGTGCCTTTCTCCCTTGTGAAACTCAAGGGACAATATAATAAAAACCACTATTTTAAAAGCACAATAAAAACAAGTATATAGCCCACAAAAAGTCACAGTTTAAAAACTCCAGCTAGGATTGCGACTAATAAAAGTGAAATCAAATGCAGTCCTGAATAACACTGCCTTCCGTTGCTTCCTGAAGACTGACAGTAAGGGGTCAGCTGCACCTCCCTGGGGAGACTGCTCCAGGATTGTGGGGCTGCCAGGGAAAAGGCCCAACAAACAAGCATCTTTAATTGGGGCGGTCAGGAGGGCATCTCCCTGCAATTTTCATTCCCAGCCCTTCAGATACCCTGGTCCCAAGCCGTTTATGGCTTTAAAGGTTAAAACCAAAACCTTGAATTGGGCTCAAAAGTGGATCAGATGCTACTGTTAATTGCTGTAGTTTTGGGAATATATGCTCCCGATAGCTGGCCCCGAACAGCAGTCTAGTCTCAGCATTCTGCACTAGCTGCAACTTCTGAACACTCTGTCAAGCAGCACTCCCATGCTGTGAATCTGGCTTTTCAAGGGGGGAGTATAACCCCCAACAAGACAGAGGAGATCTGAAGTCCCTGATTTGCCTTTCTGCTGACCCAGAGAACCTCTGTATTTTCTAGTTAAACAAGGTTTGGATCCAGTGGCACCTTTTAAGATGAACAAAGGCCCCGGTCACACGAGAGGTTTTGGGCCGGGAGAGGGACGGATCGGGGGTGCAGCAAACGGCCGCGATCCCACAGCAACATCTGGGAAGCGTGGCGCGCCCGTTCCCGATCCGGCCCTTCCACCCAAAACCCCGCATCAAAAATAAACCACCTACCTAGGTGGTTCTTCGGGAAAGGGCGCATCAAGGCCGGCCGTGGGATCGCCGGCGCGTCCTTCCGCTGGCGGATCCCCGGCTCCTGGCCGAACTGCGCATGCTCAGACATGCACAGTTCGGCAGCCTCCCCCTCCCGACTGTCGCTTCCTCCCCGGCATTTGATCGTGCCGGGGAGCAACGGCGCCGTGGCTCAGGGGATCCGTGGGATCCCGCCGCAGCATCTCTATTTTGGTGCAGCTTTTAAAAGCCGCACTTTGCCCGGTTTTTTTTCCTGCCATGTGGCAGGGACCAAAGTTTAATTCTGGGTACAAGCTTTGGTGTGCATGCACAATTCTTCAGATTCTGTCAGGATTAAGTTTTAGGTTGTAAAGCTTTGAGGGGAATAATTTTACTTAGGGGAAAACACTCTGACCTCTCTACCCCTGTTTCCCACCTGCTCTGGGAAACGTGTACCCTTTAGAGGGCTCCAAGAGGATCAGTCCAGGTTGGAAGCCCATTACCAAGACAACAGTCCTTTCAGAAAGAGAAGGATCAGGAAAGAAAACTTTTGTTGATCTTGTTTTTAAGTGTCTATTTACAGGCACAGTTGGAAAGTACGCAGTTTACGCTGCCAACTTAGCATTTAGCACTTTTCAGGTGTTCAAAGCTCTTCGCATAACATTCTCTCAGTCAGTAACTCTTATTGCTCAGTACGATTCGTCCTTATTCTTGCAGATGGGTGGATGGAGGCCGAGAGCATCTGGGCTAAAGCCACCGAGACTGGAGACAGATGAAAATGGTTTAAGGAAGCCTTGCTTTATGCCCATTTCTTTTTCCCTACTGTTGTCTCTGGACAAACAGGCTTTGGAAGCTATACAAAACTCCGCCAGCCCTGTTTGGCGGAGACAACAGTGGGGTGAGTGTGGTGGCGGAAAGTGCTGATAAGTCACAGCTGACTAATGGCGACCCTATAAGGGTTTCAAGGCAAGAGATGAACAGAGGCGGTTTGCTATTGCCTGCCTCTGCGTAGCAACCCTGGATGTCCTTGGCGGCTTCCCATCCAAGTACTAACCAGGGCTGGCCCTGCTTAGCTTCTGAGATCTAACCATATTAGTCTTACCTGGGCCATCAAGATTAGGGTGGGATGGGTGGGCCCACTATGAGCTGTGATTCCTTTTTCAAACCACTTCCACCTCTCTGATCAAGCAAGGATCTTTCTGTGGCCCGCTGAGAGTCCATGGCTGTGTTGAGACTGGCGTCAGGGAATCTTTTGCCCTTTGCCACTGCTTGGTCGAAATCAGGTTTGACCTAACTGTCAGCAGAATATGCCTCTTCAAGCTGACTGTGGCGGCCAGGGGAGAACAGACTGGGGCCAACTCTGCTGTCTTTACACTGACAGAGGCTCAAAAATGATGGTCACACAG